GGCTCAAAAGCAAGCATTCATATATGTGGCAGTTAGAATATTATAAAATTACTTCCAAACGGTTTTACTTTAAATAAGGCAGTTGGCGATCACTGCCCCCTTAGTCTCGTTTGCCTAAACAAATGGACATGTAGGAAAATACCCCCAGACAAAAGTTTCAGTATGAAAGATTTTTTATGAACCCATTCCGCATGTCCGGCGTTGAAATAAACATTAGCCATAAACACGTTAACATCATTGTAAATTTGTTACAGCGCAGATGTAACTCATTTAATTTAACAACCTAGCTGTATAACGACTACAGCCCCTACTTAATGTTAAAGTACGTGTATTGGATCACCGTATAATATACTGCATAATGTAAGTGTAAGCAATGGATATAGTTTGTGCAATAGCACATGATGTATTATGGGTATGCTTTAAATAGTTCGGACATCCTTTTCGAATACAGTAAGCGCACCCCTTCAATTGTCGCCTCTTCCTCTCTCCTTTCTGAAAAAAGGCCAGCACGTCGATCAGTTAATATATAGCATAACATATGTAATCATGTTTTCAGAACTTGACAAATTGGATGTTGGGATATGTCCTTTTGAACTTTGATTTCAAATACCTCCAAAGCAATCGTAAGCGACCACCGTTGGTGATTCATAAAAGTAGTCGCAACCATACAATTGGGTTCTCGTAATTTTAAGCGACCATGAAATGTAACTCCATCTCTGACGTATTCCACTTCACATATCTCAACCAACTTTTAACAATAAACAGCACTACTCACGCATCCATGGCACAGGTTAAAAGACTTCGCACTTTAACAACGCCCAAGTATACTCTGTCATAGAGTCTTGTTTATCTTAACTCGCCATTGCCGCACCAATTGCATCCTTCGAGATCAGTTTGTTATCGTTATTCGTGTTCCCCTCGCCATCGCCGCAATTTCCACGCGCCCTCACGCAGCAACTCAGTAACTTAGACAACGTTTTTACGTTATTGTCGGCGCTTCGATCATCGTGACTGTTTAATCGAATGGCGCGAACTTGTGAGTAGCTGCACCTACTTTGCAACGTTACACTCTCGTTATGCGCTCTTGTCATATCTGTGGAGCGCGCAATAGTGATAAGCCAGCACTACTAAACAAACATGCACTGTTACAAGTACAGTTTATGAACTTTAAAAGCAATTCTTCCTTGCTTAATATGAAAATTTTGAATGTATTAATTTATTAGACCAACAAATCTGGCGAAATATAATTTCGTCTGTGTCATATTTACTTGCTCTCTCATACAATTTCTCGAATGCGCTCCTGTGTACGTTTCTCCGCGTTTATTCTGGACGGCGCCCTCGGTAACGGTTTGGGTATAGTGGCAAATTTTCTTCCGCTTTCATAAAACGGTCATGTTCGGTCATCAGTTCTTGCACTCTTGTATCTGTTGTTTCGAATGCTGTTAACTTTCTTGCTTTACTGCGTTTGTCGAATTTTCGCCGTCACTAATTGCATCTACAGCCCGAGATCAGTTCGTTATCATTAAAGTTCGTTTGTTTCCGAGAATTCTCTTTTGCGCAGTGGCCGTAAAATTCGCAGGCCCTCACGCGCCAACTAGGCTTTTTGGTCAACGTTTATGCGCTATTTGCAGCCCTTCGATCATTATGTCTACTCAATCACATTGCGCGAGCTTGGGAATTGCTGTGTCCTCTTTGCAACACTACTTATTGTCATATCTGTGTAGCACGCAATAGTGACAAGCTAGCAATACTGAACAAACACGCACTGCTACAAATATTTATTATCTTTAAATGCCGTCCTTCCCTGCTTAATAACTCAGATCAAGAGAGAATGATCTAAGAGAGCGAATCCCCAATACATGACCTTCTTCCCATGAAAATTATTTTCAATCTATTCTTGTTTCTGTGTCATACTGTGTGGTTATTTTAAGGACGCCACCTTATTAATCAGTTAGAGTGGCGTCATGTAATTTTAAACTTGGCGGGTAATTTATTTCACTGCCGATCACGCACAGCAAGCCATATGACAACAAACTTGGTATTACTTTCGTGGACGAGTCAAAAGATTTATACGTGGAATAATCTGGCCAGAGTAGCTGACGAAGAGCAAAGACGGTCCTGGCTTGTGGGAGTTCGCCGGAGAAAGCGGTTCCGACTCGGCGAAAACTGCTTATTGAGGTCTTCGCTACATCAGTACATAAACAACCAACATCCTATTGTAAAAAACAACTGTCTCTTCCGGCGACATCCACACACACCCGCGAGCTGTGATACCGTCATTTGGATCCAACCGTGAACACGTAAGGAGAAAATAGGTTCAAACATGAATGTTTGGCCGCCAAACATTTGAATTTTGTAAGGGCGCTAGACAAATGTGGGTACACCGCTCACTATAAAGAATTGACCGAAACCGGAAACCGCGCATCAAAACTCTCTGGTATCCAGGTTAGCGACTGTTTCACAGCTTGAAGCATCTGACCTGATTTGTGTTTGCACAGCGAAATATTCATCGTAAGGCGTTAAGGAGAAGTAATGCAGTTTGAAACTCTCAAGAATAATTCTTAAAAGCAAATGTACTGTTTCTGAACGAAAAATATTCCTGGAAAAAGAGAAAAAAAATCTTGTACATTTGCATAAACAATTAAAGCCTGCCACTCATTAAAAGGCCTATACACACGAGCAGTAGCCCATCAATGATGGGCTCCTGACACGAGGGATTTTGCTCCCGGAGGATGCTCCTTGGGCACGCTCCGGGAGCAAATTTCCTTCGTGTGTACCAACGATTTCATGAGTACACTTCATCCTCGGGAGCAGAATTTCCACCCCGCAAAATGCTCCACGATATTTAACCGGGCTTTCGAACTCTGTTTCAATGTGAAGTTTGGGCCAACATGTTTGCCGCTTTTCTCCAGCCATCGCCCACTTGTCGAGCTTCTGATGCTTCGGAAACCTACAAAATCATCTTGTTTCCTTGAAGATATACGCGTCCCTTTTGATTACAAACAGCAAATCAATACTAAACATTAAAAGCAGAAGACATCCCACGTAATTGTATTTTAAAAGAAGTCCGTACAAAGTTATTTTAGGTGGAATCCGTGCTAAACACTCTGCAAGTTCACTGAAAGTCTTCATTTGCAGTTTTTGTTTACCCTCCAACGCCTCGCTTTCATGACTAGGCACCAGTTTTTTCCCGCGTGTCCGCCATTTGTGAATACGGTGTATTTAGGCCGCCAGTTTTGTTGTTGACTCCGCCTCGCTTTGGTGTACTGAATCATGAAAGCGAATCTACTGAAAGTCAACCAGTTCACCGCAAACTGTTTCCGCTTAGTCGGTCTAGTTTCTAAAAATGACTTTTTGTAATAAAGATATAAAGGCCAACGCTCCTGCACTCCCTCTCCGACCTATTCTGATTTCTTGGCGCAGTCCACTTAGGGTTGGCCTTTTCCACACGTATCCGGGTATTTTAAAGGGGAGATCTTATTCTCCGTTTTCAAAAAAATGCACGTCTATTTCTACACGCAGCGAATTCGAATCGTATACGCTGATCCACACGAAAAGGCCAAAAGAATGGGACGACGGTATCATCCCTAACAGGGCATGCGCTGTATGATGTATGACATCATCGTATTCAAAAACATCCGTTTTCGTCCGTCCACGGGACTCCACGTAGAGAAAACGATAAGCCGGCTTTTTTTAATAAATAACTCCACTCTGGGGACCGTTTTAGAAAACCTGCGGTTTTTGGTGCCTGAAAACGCCGTATAAATGTAAACTGAAAGCTAAACGCGAGAAAAAAAATCTCCGTTTTCGAAAATATCCGGATACGCGTGGACGGCGCCTGTTAAATATAGCTACCGCGGTAGCCATAGCATCGGGATAGGCCACGAGAGAGGGACAGACGAGACCGATGATTTGGGCGGCATCTGGTTCGCAAAGACCCAGGACAAGCATGGGAAAGTAGAACTTCATTGTAAGGCCACTCGGAACCGGGGGACACTCCTTTATTGGACCTAAACGGAACAGGATGTGGTTTTCATGGGGCATGGGGGATCAATGAAATGTTAGTTCGAGTTCTTCGAGCGCGCGTTTACTCTTCGGGGACAAGTGTGTTTATTACGAGTTAAAGGAGGTTTAAACATATATTTTTTGTCTCCATTTCCACTACAATTTAAAACCACAAGTGAGTAGAGCTCACTTGAACTTAATTGTAGAAGCCAATCATTCAGGTCTCTGTTAATAAACTTTATTTTGATAAACTTGGTCTGCTTAAATATGTTTTGAAGATATGAATAGGGTAAAACCAGAAACTCATATAGGGACTAAATGTAAATGTTTATAAAATGTATGTGTGCAGACACTCAAAGAGCTCGTTTTTTGGAAACTTTCAAAATTTATCGGTCTCATCGTAACGACATGAAAATTTAGAGATAATAAATATCAGACATCCGATCACGGCTCTTGCAACTGGATGAGGATTTTTTGATCCTCTTTCTTTGTTCTTTGTTCTTCTTACACGCAGAACACTCAATGTAGTTTTTCTTCACGCCCGATGCCGTGTTGCTTGACCGTTGACTAGATCTCATCAACGCAACTATCGAGCTACATGACCGCTGAACATGGTGTCTGCCCTCGTCTATTGTATTAAGGGAGTTACTGCGTTTCGGATATTGTTTAACTTTCGAGACCATAGATCCGCTACATGAGGGAAAATCCTTCAAGGATTTTGTCTCATCCAAGTCAAGATCATCTCTTTCTTGTTTTTGACACGAGTAATGATCCCTGTACTCATCAGTTAGGGCTGTTTTTGAACTATGGCCGGGTCTTCTTCTTGGCTTCTCAGGTTTCTCCCTGTCTTGGCGTTTATGCGTTGTGAAAAATTTTTCATTTTCTACGTCGTTCATTACATGATGATTCATAGCATAGCATGACTCTGCTGATTCTAACGGCATGCCAAACGCGATTCTGTAACGCTCGGTATCCCCAGTAAGGTAGTTCGACACTGAATCTTGCCTTTCTTCTATGGTAGAAAGATAACCGATGGATTCTTTTCCATAAAAGTCACGTATGAATTCTTCAGAATTTTCTCTCTCTTCTCCGTCTCTCGTCCCTGTAAGTAGCTTTAAGTCAGCTCTGTATCTCTTAATGAGCTCCACAATGTTGTTTTGAAGTTCTCTATGTGCTTCGTACATTGTTAATCCATCGCCAGTTGAAGGCAAGTCATCTAATGTGCGATGTTCAACAGCGTACAAACCGCGTCTTTCTTCCAGTTCTTTTTTAACAATCTCTGTTGACTTCTTGCACAGTAGCGTCGCTTGCTCTTCGTACACCTCAAAACGTTCTTGTCTGAGGCTGAACTTTAGGCAGCCTTGGTCAGCTGCCAGTTTAGCATGTTGCAGTCGCTCTAATCGAGAATTGAGCAAAAACGCACGCTCTCGAGATCCCTTATCGTGCTCATCTAATTTTCGCTGAAGTTCTTTACATTTCTGTATTGCATTCTCTCTTTCCGTTTTTTCGCTTGCTAAAGAATCTTTTACATCCTTGTTGTCCTTTACCAGTACCTCTAATTGAGACCTCAGAGCTTGCGCTTCGTTCCGGAGAGTTTCGGTTTCCATTTGCAATTTCTTGACTGAGACCGTTAACCCCCCCTTTTCCTCTGCAGTCTTCCCTGCAAAAGATTCTTTCAATTGTGGGAGCTTTCTTCTCTGTTTCTTCTGCGCATGCTGCGAGGCTTGGACTGAATTGTTGTCTCCACTCGCCTCTTTGGTTCTTTCAAAGTTTTCATTCCCCAGAGATGAGGGTAAACTCCTCAAAGATCTCTTCTCCGTTAAATTATTGTTTTTTCCATTCACTTCTTTACCCGTGAACGATTTCGATGCTACCTGCTGGCTTCCACATTGTCGAATTTCATTTTCCTCTTTGTTTTCATAGATACCATCACACGTGGCAACAGCATCATTCTTGCAGTTTTCTTCCGTGTCACGTTCAGAAACTGTTGTTTTTGTTTTATCTCTTAACAGACCAGCACTCTTAACTCCCCTTCTCCATAACCTTAAGGAAAACGCCTTGAACGGGTTCGCGGTATTTTCAAAATCAGCTTCGTCGGTTTTGTCTTTAGGCTCCGCGCTTGCTTCGCTGTTTGCTGTAGTAAAATTTCCCGCGGCAGCCATCAATACAATAACAAGATCGAGCAAGTGTGACAGACAAACTTTATTCCCACAGATTAAACTACTTTCTTTTGTGACTCCATGGTCGTCCAGACCAGCTGAATGTCCTGTGCTATCTTGTTCACTTATCAAGCTTTCTGTTGTCGTTTTAATTTGATGAAAAAATGATAGTTCAACCCGCTTGCTTGTAAGACAAGAAATCTTGGAGATGAAATGGTTTATTGTGTTGCCCGAAGGACCAAGAATCTTCGCAAATAACCTGGCTTGTTCTACAGGCTGTTTATGGTTCCCTAACTTCGACCGTACTATCTCAAATACCTCAATCACATCTTTACAACGCAGCTCGCCGTTGTTGCGCGGTGAGAGCGGGTACGCCTCCATCGCTTGGCATGAACGTTTCCACCTGCTCTTACAATCAATTGATTTGCAGATTTGCCAATTCACGTTTCATGGGCAAAGATTCGTGTTCTTTTGCCTGATCTAATATCAAATTGGCGTCAAAATATTGCTGTTTGTCCACGATTCTTGCACATCAATACGTATGATAACAGTGCTTCAAAATTGCTTGCAGGAAGACACAATATTATGGTCACCTAAATAACAACGGAAGCGTATTGTTTCAGAAGGTTTTCTTTAAATTATTTACAGCTCCTTAACGCTTCCCTAGAGTGAAAAACAGTTCAGAGTGTCTCGGAAACAGTAGTCTGTTGACACTTAATTACCACTACAAGCAACGAATAAAGGTGGACAAAATTATGCAAATATGTCTAATACCCCGAACAAATAATTTCACCGGAACTAGTCAGTGCAAGTACGAACATAATGAGCTTAAAAAATTCTCCTGAAACGCAGTGCAAAGATTAACCGGGTTTTGTTGACAATACAAAGGTTTATAATGATCATTTGTACAGCTCGATCAAGTATATAGTTCCCTTTTTTTCATTTCAGTTAGGAGAAAAAGTGTTTTTATCTGGCTTTTAAAACAGGTGTCTTTGTCTGGCACGGCTTAATTCGGTGTTTTCTGCTCTGTTTACAAATCCACACTGAGCAAAAGAAGTTTTCGTTTTCTCGTTATATTTAGCAAAGAAACATGACTCTCGTTAAACGAGGGAAAAGTATAATTGACCAAGATAGCCTGTTTGAAAATTTTGATTTGCTAAAAAAAGAAAATACAAGTATTTTAAGTTCGCCGTGTGGTTTTTTTTTTGTAGTTTCTGTTTTCGAGGTGTCAAATCTATTATAGAGGGCCTTTGACCCTCTACTTTTAATTTGGCATTTCTACAATCATTTTTTACCTTGCGAACTCGTTCGGTTATCTGACTCCCGATGATATGGACAGCAGCTAGTATCAGAATATAGATTCTTAGCAAAAATAAATCGTAGACGTAATATTCACAGAATTAAACGCTCTCTCATTTATGGACTCTGTCGCTACTGAGGACGCTAACTCCGACGCGGTCCCGTGGAATAACGGGAGTTCACTCTATTGGGAAAAATTAATACTTTTGAAACCGAACGTAAAGTACAACTAAACTCATCTTAGCAATTTTTATACTATCTAGATCTAGCGAATTCTAAACTTTGCGATTAGTATATTTTGAGTAGTCAGAAAATTTCATAGAAATCGAATGCATGAAACAAAACAAAAGTTCCTAAATAAAGCCCTTTGTTCATGTTAATTTTAATCATATTTAACCTTTCTTTTCTCAGTTAAGTCATTTTGGCCTTGCAGTCTCAGGGAGATATTTTTAATTTACATCAGCGGTGTAATTTTAACAATGGATATCCGGTATGGAGTGTTGTGAAGACGCGGAGAACAAAGTATACGATACGTTCCATCGATTCAATTTCTTACTCTATAGAACCCCTCCCCGGAGTTTTTGATATGTTGCAGTATTTCGAAACGATTTTACCTTTAGTGGAAAGGCTTAATTTATCTTCTTAAAACAAGTTGAGGTATATTTATTGGTAGTGTCGCTGCTGGAGGCCTGTGACGTCACTAACAATGGTCGCCATCTTGGAATTTACTAAGAGTTAGAAATCAGGCTAAAACGGCGACAAATCGTAATTTTTTGAGCGTTACATGAAAAATAACACATAAATGAGCACTTTGCATGATTTTAGCCACAAGATTTACTTTTATTGTTGAAAAAAGTTGAAAAAACATGTATTTTCACCCAAAAATGACTTGATCACCTGCTACTTATGACGGCATATCTCGCAACCATAGCAATTGAACATCACTGAAGTTGTCTCAAAATGTGCTCGAGGGATAAACGAACAGCTACTGAAAACGTCAGGCGCTGATGCTTTATCCTCTAGGAAAAAACTCAGAAAAACCTTTAGAAAATGAGAAAGGGTGGACCGGACATTCTTCAAGCATACACTCCTTTTTTTTTCATAAGAACCCTTTTTTATAAGAACGTTAATTCAGCCTGAAATTTGCCAAAATATTAAGAAAACATGCTAAGAACGTACCCGGGGCTAAGCGAAGAACAAAATATTTTTCACTCCAGGACTTGTTACTTTCCTAAATCCAGAAAATCTGAATTACATAATATCTTACATGGAATCAGAATGCATGTAAAATTTTGTTTTTTCAACGCATTCCTGTTTGTGTATGGTCAGTTATTTTCATTTATATTGTACTTGTACAGTTCGTTAATGTAAAAAGTCTATACTAAAACATTTCCAGGCTGAAACCGCCCTAGCCTTCCACGCAGACGTTCCTAGGGGTTCGTCACGCGTGGGAGGCTAAAACCGCCCAGAAAATTTTTGCACGTTTTAGTCGTGCAAAACAACGACAAAGAAATGTACTCAAAAGTGTGCTGCACGTGCAAGATTGTTTTTTTTGCTAATTAGTAAAAGAAAAGTGGGCTGCACGTGCAAAAATGGTGTTTTTTTTTTATAATTAGATCTGGTGTTGTTGTTTTTACCGTTCTCTTTGTTTTCATCTCGTCTTTAGTGTTACTCGATTTTATATTTTCTTTAAGGAAACTATTTATTTTACATGTAAAGACTGCTTCGCTTTTAGCCCTGGCTAAATGTATATATTATTTAGGTATAGCACGATTCACCGTCTGGAATACTATTACATATTTGTGCAGCAATTCTTGAAAAGAAGTTTTTCATATGGTCCGTTCTCGAGTGCTTAAGGTAGAAATTGCCAGCCGCAGAAAATAAAGTATTATGATGATGTATTTTTGAAGAATAAGTAAATACGTTAAAAACGTACAGCTCAGCTCAACACATCTCAGCTAAAACAGGCCTTTCAAGCTCTAGTAAAAATATATTTATAGACTGAAACTTGCACCCCAACTCAAATGACAATTAGTCCGAAATCTTGTCTTCCAATTTTTTATGATAAAATTAACAGATGACATCTTTCTAAGACAAGGCACCCATCACAAGACAGAAACGTTCTCTGAGCACTGCTAGGCAAACGCCATTTAAAAGGATACCTAGGGGTCGACCATTTGATTTACTGAGGGGGGTGGGCTGGGGGATTTGGTTTGGGCAATAATTTTATTCCAAAACTCTCCGAGGCTACTTGGATTTATTAAGACTATTAACTCAATTCAAGAAACGTTAATCTTTCGAAGGCTTTTTGCGGGATATTATTTTTTGAAATAACCACACCCCGCCCTCAAAAGTTAGAGAGGCAGTTAGACACATGGTTAGACACTTAGCGGAATTAGACGCGCGCGAATTTTTACATTCTTAACAAAAACCGCAAAAGCACCCGTGGAATGAACGTGGAGGCGCTAGCAAAAAGCATTCTTATACCCTATACTCGACCAAGCTACGAAAGATACTAAGGACACCAAGAGAGGTACTTTTGAATGAACTTCTTATTTTAAAGACTCCTTTAATAACTTATATGCAAATGAATCTAGGAACATTTTTTAAAAGCATTCAACAATCGATGTTCATTCCGTATAAACAACCTATGTATAAGCTCTCGTTAATTGACTATATATTTTCGAATGCTCCATACTACACGCTGTTTGTTCCCCAAATTTTGCATTAGTTATTATATTGAATGCTCTTGGGAAAAAGCATTCCTCCTGCGCGTATTTGAAAACAAGTTCATGATATCAAAATTTGTTGGGTAGCCTGTTCCAGGCGTTCAGATTTTGGGGACTGCACAAAGAGATGTGAGCAGGAAAAACAGCGATGGGCCATCCGGGGAATTTATTTTCTGCTCTCTGACTTCGCGCACTGGCTATTTAGGCCTGGCAAACAAACTGTAATATGGGGTATTCGAAAACAGAGAATCGAATGAATTCCTTATTTCCATACAGCAGACTATCAGATTATATGATTGTCGCAAAGTACAGGCAAGCGTATTCAAAGTGCATACTGCCCTTCCCCCCCCTTGAAGTCCTTAGTGAGAGTATGCCCTCAGTCGACTAAATAAACTGAGGAACTGCTAGCAGTCTATGCAGAAACTTCCAAAATGAGGAGGGGAACCTTTGTATTTGAGACAATTCCCATGTTCTTAAAGACGGACCGTTTTCTGGTTCCCTACGTCGCAGGCGTTTTCTTCGGGTGCGCAAATGTAAAATGCTAGCGTAACCGCAGAGCTGAATTCTCAAAAAGTGGAGGAGTTGGGTAGTCTGTGTCGCAGAGTTGATCTAAGCCATGTTAGTAACGTCTGCGAAGCAGCGCCGATGTCCTTGTTCTGGGCCCCCAACGGACTCAACGAATTACCGGAAATGCGTTTCGAATTTCCCTTCAAGCTGATTGGCGAATTGACAATAGCTTTTTAAACAGGCCAATTATAGCTCGTACTTACTCAAGGCGCTGTTTCGCAGACGGACTTAACCAGAAGTTTACTTCCATCTGTGGCGCGGGCTAGGAGTTGGGGCGAGTCAAAGGGGGAGTTGGAGGGGGTTTGTTTCACCCTAACGCCTACTCCAAGGGTTGATATTTCGACTCTCCCCAATCTTCCTCAGTAAAATCGAAAGAGAGTTTTTGTAACGACGACGGTAAAGGCAACGAGAAACGTAAAATTGAAACGTGAAATTACCTCACGGGAGGCTTTAAGGGGGAGGTAAACAAAATAAGTCGAATTTTTGTTTCTCCTTCTTACCCTGGGTTCGGCTCCCCAGAACTCAATTCCAGGAAATTTACTTGCATTTGACGTTTTAAGCGAAACGAACTGAAATAATCCCCAAAAGTTTATTGAAAAAAAAAAAAAAAAACGCGAAAAGGTTGTAAAACTGTCGTCGTCGTTCAGTAAAACTCCCCGTAAAGATGGCGGCCACGGCATTTTGAACATGAACAAGCAGCTTTTGAAGCTTTCACTGCAGCAATATAGACTATTCTCTTGGTTCTAAGCAAGTAAACTTCATACGACAGCTCTGTACTTGGAAAAGTCAAACCTAGAGGAGTATACGTAATATAAAATATTGCTATAAAATCTTTCTTTTAAATACTATGAATTTATACTTAGTCCACCTACAAGCAAATTATACTGATACAGCAAAACAATAAACAGAATTAGCGAGGTCAAAAACAATAGGTAGCTAATAGATGTATACAAAAGAATGAAATTCAAAGACCTGGGACCATAATGAAAAATTTTGATTTTTTCGCAGTTCAGGTGGCAACCGAAGGTGAACTGAACAAATTTACTTCACAGGAAAATTTCACAAAAATACCAGGCTTCCGAGCTCTAAAGATAAGCTTTATAGCAAACCTGGTTCTACAGCTCAAAACAATTCTCGCTCAAAATCAGTATTGCGAGGGGAATACTGTTTTTAGGAGTCATATTTCAGGAGGAAAGTAATCTGGACTGCTTGAATCAGATTAAAGATTGAATTGAGACTAAAGTAATTGGACATACACTGATTTGCTATCTAAATAACTTGGAAAGTATTTTCTATAAAAGCATTCTTCACGCGACTCTTAATCCGATATAAAGTTAACTGGGACTGGATCAACACTGATATAATAACTACACTTAATTATCAAGATAGGATAATTGGAGATTATTCTCCCCATGTTCTCTAACTTATATCTGCACTGTGAATGAAACCTGTATTAAGCGGACACCCGAGAATACCTTTCTAATGTCTGATCTTGAGAGGTGTCCGCTTAACGCAGAGGATGATACCCGGTTGCGCATGGTTTTTCACCCCTCTTCTAGGTGTGTGGATACCGGATCAAACACGGCATTTTTAGCTAGGACGCTCGAGAAAGAGCGTCTCTTTTCGCGTGCAGCTCGCGCGTGGCTTCTCACGATAAATGGGGCACTTCCTCGAAGGTTACATTACCTAAAAATCGTCTACAATATTGTAAAAAGAAAAGAAAGAAATATCTTAAAAAGAATTTAAATTACTTAAAACTGTTTAAAACTTAAGAGAGGGCATCAGTTATTTTTTTAATCTTTGCTTTAATATCCTTTACCCTTCAGTATAATGTTCATTCGCCATCTTGATATTATGCTTTTTCTTCCAGAAGCCGCTTCTGTTGTTTCATTTCAGTGCTTGCACCTTTAGGTGTCTGTGGCTTCTTTCTTATCCGACAGTACAACACAAAGATAAACAGAGCAAGGAAGGTCACAGCTCCTAGTAAACAGCCCATGATGATAATTGCAACTTTGTAGTTAGTTTCAGCGGTACGAGGTGCTAATGATAAAAAGATGATAGTAAGTGTGAGCAAGAGAGAATGGTGTGAGTTGATCTCGCTGATTGCTAAGTATATCCCTACGTTTTACATTGCATAAAATAAGCAAAAAATTTCCTCCTTACTTTGCTGTGATTAATTCAGTTAGACCAATTTCGATGTACTGTAAAATTCCGAAAATAAGCCCCGGGGCTTATATTTTTTAAAGGCCCTTTTTGAGGGGCTTATATTCGGAGGGGCTTATCTACGGAGGGAAATTTGCGTTTCAAAATCGATAGGGCTAGCCTTATAGTTGGAAGTAAATTTACCGTTGTTATTTGTTTAACTTTATATTTGAGGGCAATTTTCCAAGCAAAAGCCCCCCGGGGGCTTACATTTGGAGGGGCTTATACATGGAGGGGCTTAATTTCGGAGTTTTACGATATTACAATTCATACTTGGCTGCAAGGCTTGGTAGGCGATAGACTACGAGCAGTCTCTTTTTTTTCTTGGTCCGTCGAGCGAAACGCCCAAAACACGTACATGACCACCCGCGTGACTGAGGGCGCGAGTCGGGAGAGGCACAGGAGAGGCATGCACTCCCCTTACTAACTGAAGGAAAAGAGAGACTCCTCGCAGTCTAGGTAGGGGAAAAGACAACAGAAATCATCTTGAGGCTCAGCAGTGATTAATCAGGTTTTTTGTTTTATTCCACCAAGCCCTGGAGCCAAGTGTGAATTTTAATAAATCTAGATTAGTGTATTCGGCTCAGTATAAACAAACTAATACGGTCAGTTAATAGTTAAATCATCTATATTAAGCCACTTTCTACGGTTTGTAAAATGCCGGAATCGATGAAATAAGAATTTAGTCCGCTAATCACGAGTTCACTAAGGTTCTTTTCAACATGAATAAGGTACCCATGACTTCATTCCTATCGCCTTCCTGGCTGTACGGACCTCAAGCCATCTATCAAGTTTCACAAACCTTATCGGTATGTGTTTAGCTAGATCGTTTTTAACTCACGTGATCAGTGGCTATATGTGCACGTTTCTCGGAACAATAGGTGCGGTCACTCTAGACGTCTTCCCCAAGAGTAGCCCGGGTTGAGTTCGCTCTGGGTTTTGATCACTTTCATGTTTGCGGCTAGCTACATAGCGATAAATTGCCAAAGAAGAAGAAAAAACTTGAACCCAGGTTCGCGGTAAACGTCGTTGTAAACATTGAAGGGTGACATAAATCGTAAACAATTTCGACCATTATTATTATCCTTTTAATAAAACTGCCACTTCAATTAAGCTTGGAAAAAGCGATTTTGAGACCAAAAAACAAGGCGCTGACCTCATCTGCGCTTAAAAGAAAAGCAAATTTTAGTCTAAATTCTCGCTCAGAAGTTAAAAGGGTTTATAAAATTGTTGTAAAGACTTCATAAGGAAAGAATTCTGGAACAAAGATGTAAAGAAAACTAGCGAGTGTTTCTATATAATGTGCTTTTGAATTTATTAAACTTAAAATCATTCACAGCAGCGCTAAAAATCATCCTGCTGAGTACGTTTTCGAACTTTGAGTCCAGTTTTGCGTTGTTTCGCTTAGGATTTGGCGCGAAGACGACCTAAGCACGTAAACAACACGTGATTTCTTTTGCTTGGTACTTGCTACTTTCTCGTAATTGGTTGAGCCGCTTTGGTTTTTATTAACCCATAAAACTTACCTCAGGAACTGTCATGGGTTATTCTTTTATTCGTTTTGACGTATAAATGGAGATTTCATCGACGCAGTTTCACCTTGGGAAATTCGGTCACACACAAAAAGGGGCAAATGGCTCGCTAGTGTGGACCGCACTTAATAACGAAGTTCAATCCCCACAGCTATCGGTACACGTTTCCTTATTTTGTACACTAATATGGCCCCGATGACGTCATGTAAAAACTATCTATTATCCACTGTCTTTCCTTTTACGTTTTAGGAAGCTATTACCTGCGGTTGGCGTTCTTTTCACAGTTGTGCTTGCTACAGTTGACGTCAAATTTGTCGTATTTGCCTTTATTGTTGTATCAGCCTCAGTTGCCACTGATGTAACTGTACTGGGGGGTACGTATTCATTACCTGCGAAAGAATCTCACTTTTTAATTTTTTTAAACAATTTAATATATGCCTTGTCAAACGGTCTTAAAATTATCTTAAGTTCTCTCAACATTTTCTTCTTGGAATGAAATGCCATTGGGATAAATAGAGATAATAATTTATTATATAAACACCAATGAAATACCAGGTGAGCTTTCGCGCGAAAACATGATATATTCACACGTGAAAATAACATGTTATTTTCACATGTGAAAATATCACCGTTGCTATGGCTACATAATAAATTGCGCCTTTCGCAGGGAAAAAACCGTTTCATTGAAATGGTTTGGTATTTCATTGGTGTTTATATAATAAATAGAACATTACATGGCCGCTTGGAGATACGAAATTTCTCCTCGAGTGTTGAAAAATATTTCACTCGTTCGCTGCGCTCACTCGTGAAATATTTTTCAACACTCGAGGAGAAATTTCGTATCTCTGCGCGGCCATGTAATATCCTCTATGTTTGTCATGACAAAACTGGAAAAAAAAAACAACAAAAAACAGTGAGACAGTTCAACAAAGTGTAGGGAGCAACTGCCATTGGTAGAGGCTTCCTTAGTTGTTAAACGTTCTTTAGTAGCAGCTTGCCTCAAATTTCTTGCTGGATGGAATGCTACTGACCTATTATCCATAATGGTGGTTTTCAGCTCTGTATCAGCCTTGAAATTTTTAAAGGAGAATTTAGTAGGAGCTTTCAAGCCGGCGAAGCACGCACAGCGGAGAACCATAGGTATTAAAATTTGGTTATATACGCATCCAAGAAATTTTGGTTGTGACAAACTCGTCCGCCCATCCCTCCCTCCTTACGTCTACCTCATGCTAAGTAAAAAAGAAATATTGTTTAAAGTCTGCATTAAGAGGCTTTGCAAGAGTTTGTTGTCGATCGAAATCAACAATTTCATGTACTGCTTCAACGTGGACATAGGAAATATAGTTGTAGCATAGATTGAATCAAAGAAAAAAAAAAGAAAAATGAAAGAAAAAATGATAACAATAATAAGTCTTGATGTTTCGTCTTTAAATGGTGCTCAGCAATGTGATTGTTGAGGTCACCATTCCTCGTCGCTCGTTTGTGTTCGGTCAGTCGCGTGCTTAGGTTTCTGCCGGTTTCACCAATGTAAGAAGCCTGGCAGTCGCAGCATTTGATCTTGTATACTGCTCCCTCATTGACTGGGACTCTGCGACATGTATAACGTATTCTACAGACTACTATCAACGTCTTACTTTAGAAAGCTGGTTTACTAACTTAGAACAAACGCCACTGAATCGTAACCAACAGTTACCAGCGCCGTACAAACGACTTATTGACGAGATCAAGCAAAACTAACTACAAGAGAACGACTGGAGAACTGACAATTTGACTAACAATAGACGACTGTTTAACTGTGACAATAGACGGATCGAAACGCACCAATTACTGATTACGAGTCTTCATAGCCAATAACAGCACGGCTTAACTGACAGACGACCAATAACATCGCGACGTAATTGACCAATCAGATCAATAACCAGAGTATAATACCATCAAGTGACGTGATACAACTCACTTTGACTCTGAAGATGACTACCGCACAGGTTGTCGAAATGCCAGTCACTGTCAACAACAACAGTCCTATTCAGGACTACGTTCACCCGGACGATCAAACTCAACCTACTTTTTAAATGACTCCTGGGTTCAAACCTTTCACATAACAAGTCTGAGTTTTTTTCATCTAAAAATTGCCTTTGGAAATAGTTCAAAATTGTGAATACATGACTGTGCGTACTTCTCTTCTGGCCTGCATAGCGAGCGGTTCCGAGAGAGCTCGTCGAGACAGTGGGGACGAGAGCAAAAACAAGGAATGAAAGGGGAGGGGAGGGAGAAAAAGGTTTCCTCTTTCCCCGCCCTCTCCTCTTCCCTCTTTTTTTTTGCTCTCGCTTTAGTTTCCGCGATCTGAAACGCTTGCTACGCCGGCTTTCCTCTACTTTCCATGAAGCCCACTCAGCAAATGGGAGATTTTGCTGATGTTTCATTTATCCAAAATAAACGCAGCGTATAGGGCACTAGGGACCAATGATCACAATTCAGGATTAAAGAAAAGAAGCACGGAAAATTTGATTTGCAAGAAATTTACTCAGAGCAAATTTAGTGCAAAAAGGTGCAAACTACTGAATCAAGAGCAAAGATGGTATTCACTACCAATGTTAGGATGGTATTTTGTACCAGTTTACGAATTTACAAATTTACAAATTTACTAGCCCATGCAAACTAGTACGCAAATGTGGTGTTTACCATCTTTGCCTTTGATTCCCCCCTAGTTTGAACTTTTTTGCTCCATATTTTTCCTGAGTAAATTTGTGTAAATCCAATTTTTCGTGCAGTGATGAAAGCACATATGCTTACCAGTATTTCGCAGGAAAACAGCTTGGGAGTGACAAGTTGTAATAGGATTGGAGCCACTGCCCATCTCATAGTGTGCGCAATAGATATTCTCCATTTGGCTGGTGTAATTTACCAATCTTAGATACAAAATTTTCGACACTAGATCAGCTTCCACAGTAGCCCTGCCAATGTATACGTTGGCATGACGATTGAACTTCCTGTCGTGTGTGCCGTTACTATATGCTCGCCCTACTATTTTCATCTCCTTTTCACCAGGTCTTAATAAGGCCATTACTTTGAAGAGACGTAACAAGGTGAGATTTGCCTCTGGTACTATCTTCCAGCAGATAGTAACGTTGCTACCCTCGGAGGCGTACACAACAGGGGGGCTGGGACAAACTTCGGCTGCAAATCCGGCTAGAATAAAGGAAAATAATTATGTTATTTCGAGATCACTTGACTTATTATATCAAAGTTGCATTGCACCTTGAAACCCACTAGATCGTGAGGACTTGTTGGCCAATTTTTCATAACCTGACCAGTTTAACCAAATTTGGAGGACGCGAACAATACAATCGATTGATATGATGGTACAATTGTCCCAATCTACAATCGTAAGTTTCCAGGCAACGGAGCGGCGCACAGCATAGCTTTTTGGAAAGAAATAAAATGGTGAAATAATTCATGGATATGCGTGGACTAAAAAGCCTTAAATTACTAAGTCTAGGCCAAAAAATGCAAGAATAGGCAAAACTTTTTGCTCAATGGGTGTCATCAACGTCTTCAGAAGTCAAGAAGGCTGGTATCGCCAGCCAAAATATTGTTATAAAAAACAATATACTTTGTTTTAAATCAGCTTTGCAGTAATTTGGACTTCTTGTTCTTGGTTCTTTATATTTTGGCTGATTTGATCTCTTTTCTAGAGATCCAACGTTTACAACTAGCAGGATCTTCGTCCACGGTTATTGCAGCTAATTTAATCTGTAATAAACAAAGATTCGCGTACGTTGCAAATGAATGCAGCCTACAGTGGTTTATAAGTATATGCCTAATTAATTCTATTTGGCTTCTTTCAGTTTCATTTTTCCTTTTGGCAATTTTCAATGACAAAGCTACTGCAAGTAGGTGTATACTGCTATTTCTAGATAGGTTGTCGGAAAAAATGTGCACCCAACAATCCCGAAAGGTATTATGGGATATGGTCAATACACTGTTCCTGACGACCGTAGCTGTCGAACCTACTTTTGTTGCTTTCCTCTAGCACTCGAAAACACATTTCCATGGCCTTTCTTGCCAATTCTTTCAAATTTCTTTGAAGAACAGAGACCTCAAAACCACCCACAATACCTTTCGGGATTGTCGCGTGCGCTTTTTCCAACAACCTTTCTCGAAATAGCTGTATGGAAAACAAGGCGTGCTACTGCCGTACCAAATTCGAATTCATGGCAGTAGCACAACGTTTGAAACGGGCCTATATGTGTCATTTTTCGCTTTAAATATGCTATATTGTCTATTGTTTGATAAGGGAATCATGAGCGTGTGTTAATGAGGCAATATATAATTTATCTGCTAAAATATTTAAACTCCATGTACAAGATGATACAAAAATAGTCAACTCTCTCGTAATATATCACCCTTGGTGCACGACAAAGTGGTCGCTTACGGGAGGTGGTCGTCTACGGAAAAAATCAAGAAAAGGAGTTCGAACTGACCTGATTAACGTAATTAAATTTAATAAATTATTACCTTACAAGCTACATAAGGCAAATAAACAAATGGTAATAATGTTTGACATCGAATAGAGCTTGCTTCAGCAACTGTAGAAACGTTATACATAGCATTTTGCAGCATCGAGTTAAAATTCCTTTTTTTTAACCTACAGATCGCATGGTATAAAACAGCCATCCTTTTTGTAAGCCTGCTAAAATTTGTCAGCAAGCTTGGTTAGCGCTATTAAAAACTGAACTTTTTGACATTCGAGCAATGTTTTTTTTTTCAATCCTTCGTGATCATGCCCGGGTGGTCGCTTACCAGGAACAGAACACAAAAGGATATATTAAATTTCTGGCATTAAAAGTGGTCGAGGTCGCCGCTAAAAATATATGAGAAGTGGTCGCCTACGAGAGAGTTTTTGAAACGGTATTTGATTGAAACAAAACGGTTATTTATAAAGCGGTCGCTTACGGGAGGTGGTCGCTTACGAGAAGTGGTGGCTATAAGAGAGTTGACTGTACTACGCTGTTTGGAAAATTCTAAAAGCCGAAAACATCAATAATGATACTACAGGAAAAATTTGCCTATTTGAAGAGTTTTTGCACGGCGACTACAACTAAGTGCCAGTAAAAAGGTAATAAATTTATAAGCCTCCAATATTCACTAAACAAGTGTTTTTTTAACCAGGAGCTTAGTTTAACTAAAAACCGAGAGTACAGTAATTGTAGAAAATTTAAAGATAACTTACTTGTGACCGCTTTTATAACCACGACAACGAAACCAATATTTAGAAAAATTGCTTTGCCCATACTCGTCTGCGTCTGCCTGAATCGGGGTAAGAAAAAAAACAATGACAATGACTACTCAAACCAAGAGAGGATAAAGGGGACAGAGAAGGCATGCCCCATACACACCTTATTCCATAGGTAATTCGTCTCGAGTTTTTTTTAGAATCGGGATAAAGTTATCTCGCGCGCTGCGTGGATGTTTCGTGGAGGTTTCACATGACTAAACGCCATGCAAAACATGTCGGGCGAAAGGCAATGAAAGGGTAAAGAGATCGAGAGCATTTCTGAATATAGAAGCGAAATGAGTCGGCGCTCACCTGGGAAAAGGGAATCGCTCGACTCTTTGATAACCCAGTGCTTTAATAAAATGAGAAATTTCGCCGGTCTATTGAAACCGGTCGTTTGTACAATAAAGCAAGTAGCAAGTAATATTCATGTACATGTAATAAGTTTTACAAATTTGAATTTTATTGTAGTTTTTGTAAGTTGTTAAGCGCTGTTGATCAGTGAATGTACATAGCGCTCTAGAAGTTACTAAATTATTATTATTATTATAGGACGCCAAGTGTTATTTTTGTTGAATAATAAAAGACTAATAAAAGAATAAACATCAAACCAGAAATTTCTCTCTTCAAACTGTAAATTATAAATCATCCTGAGAGAATATTCACTGTGTTAAGGATTTCCCTGCTGTACTGTTAGCTATATACAAGAGAGGAAGGGCGATTCTTTTTTAATTTCCGTCTTCGGCCATTTTTTTCTGTCTCAATTCGCGAAGGACGCGTGGCTCTGAGCGTGGGTCATCCACGCGGAACACATTCGCGCTATGTGATTGGCTGTCGTCTAATCCCCCTTGGGATCTGTGGTCTTAAAAATAACTCGAGACGGATTACCTATGGAATAGGGTGTGTATGGGGGATGCCTTCTCTGTCCCCTTTATCCTCTCTTGCTCAAACTGATGTCAGTGCGCTCCTGATCTGCTCCTTACGGTCAATTGATTTCCAAAATACGCGACCGTACAGCCGTCCAAATTTCCCCTTCGTAAACTGTCGTTGCCATTTCTAAGACACTTAGAAGATTTTTGACCTAAAGTGTTTCTATTTTAACGTCTTTCTTTCTTTCAAAAACATATTGTTCGCCTTATTGTAACTTACTCCAGGGAATATTTATACTACATGTACATCTATCTTGACCAAAGGCTTGGTTACCAATAGTGGCATCGACCGTTAACGACAGTTTACGATAGGGAAATAGGCATTTCCGCCTCATTTTCTCGTTTCAATGGGCAAATGGGACGGGTATGTTGTAGCCTGCGTAGTGAGCGTTTCTGCGCAAGTTCGTCGAGATAGTCACTCCTACTTACTCTATCAGAAACGCGTAGTGCGGGTAGGAGAGAACCCTGGGAACGAGGTTGAACCGGCGCAGGCTAGCTATCAATGCTGCAAATGAATCCACCCAAAATATTTCTCCGTTTCTGATTGGCTAAAATCCCACGCATAATTCACCATAACCAGCTTCTGTCGACCAACTTTGGAAGAATTTTGCGATATGTGAAAAATGAGGTCAATCAGTGCAGGATAATTGCCTGAAAACACAGGGTCCATGCAGAGGAGATGTGTTTGTCGTTAGAGCATCAGAACCCGTCGAAAACCTCTGAAAAAATGTGTTATTTTGATCGCGTTACATTTTCGTTACAGATTCTAGATCATGGCCCGCAAAACAAGAGACTGAGGGCTCGCAAGATCGGCTTACATGGCTTGCAGTTATTGATTTTCAAAATGGCCAACAACAAAGTCGATCTGGGTCAGATAAGAATCGAAGAAATCGTTTACGGTAGATTCATAAAGATCCCGCCCGCACTGGGCTAATTAATCGTGCTAAGCGACAGGTATAGACATTTTTTAAGGTGAGACTTTAAATAAGTAATTCATTTGTTCACACGAAACTCCTCTGGACCCTGTGTGAAATTTGTTAAATATGACAAAAATTCTCCCCTGCAGATGTCATGCATTGGCTTACACCCAATGCCCTCGGTCATGGGCTCCTACCGGGGTTGAGTATTTAACAATTATTCCACGAGGGCGCGTTGGATATGAGATGATAGATAGCCAACGAGGCGCATAGCGCCGAGTTGGCTATAATCATTTCATATCCAACAAGCCCGAGTGGAATAATTGTTTTATTAAAAACGCCCACAAAATCTCGTTGAATCGCCCCGACTAGAACAAACCGGAAAAGACAAGGGACTTCCGCTATTGACATGTTACACGTCTATCAAAACTGTCAACGCGCGAACCGGGCTCGCCTAGACTGCATGAATGAAAAATCAAAACATTGTGCGATGAACATTAGTTTTTTAAAAACTCATCGTGATTCTAGGATTTTACACAGCAGAACAGCTTAAAAAACCTGGCAGATAATGTGAAGGAAAGGAATTTTTAAGTGACAGCCGTCGAAATTACTATGAATTTGGATTTTCGGTGCAGCTATAAAAGTAAGAACAACGGAGAAAAACTACCGGTATTACCTCGGTCGCTTGTTATGAAGTTGTTTGAAGCCACAAGCTGGTTTTGCTGAACGAGAAAAGAAGCTATACTCTTAACTGCCGCCTCGATTGCTCTAGTGAATGGCAGCATAGCCTGTATTTGTAGCTGGTTACTTGTGATTTATATTCTTGATGTCGGATAAACAAGCTGCAGTTATCTATCGGCGAGTGACTCAATCGGCGAATGGCTTCGCGATCATGAAGAAACAACAATTGTCTTCTTTCGTAGCTGGTCAAGGTACTTTAGTTCCATGTGTTTTCATGTGTTTTTCGACAAACTTTCAAACAAGCTCTTGTGGCTTTTTTGTTTGTTTTTGTCTTTTTTCTTTCGTTGAAATTGTATTTCTAGTATTCTAAGAAATGAATTAAAACGATTTGCTTCGAGCGCCGTTCTATCCTTCGCGAAAAAAATTTCAGCTAGCTTCCAATTTTAAACTGACGCGCACACCGACCATATATGGAGAACATGGTATATTAGCTCATATACCATAACGGCTAAGCCAATCAAAATGCTAGAATTGCATTATCCAATGATTCAGTTTTTAATAAAGGGAGTTAGACTGCAGCAGTGAAAACGTCCCACTCCACCCAAAAAATGAATTTGCGTTCTCCTTAATTGCGTTTATTAAGCCTCGCTAAATGTGAGGCGAATTTTCTTGGAAGAATTCTCTCAAGACGGTATCCACGTTTAAAAATAGACGAAAACGATTGGTCGCCGTGGTTTTAAGTCCTCCGTTAAACGTTGCATAAGGAAGTTTCACGTCGAAGAGTGGACGTCAAAGAAATATACTGAAGTGAGTGATGCATGTGTATTGCTTTTGTTTTCCTTATTAAAGCAACTGGTTATTGACGTTCTCGTGGTTGCTTTATGTGAGGCCATAAAACTCACTGAAAACTTAAATGAACAAATGGCTAATAAATTATAAGGCAATTTAGATTTTACCGACAACTTGATACAGCTAGAATTTTAACTGAGAAAGGAAAGGAATGGTAATAATTTAATTATAATGTTGTTGTAAATTACGTTAATCCATGGCACAATGACGGTATTGTTAAAAAAAATTAACCTTTAACTGCGGAATGGAAATAAAGGAATAAAGTATTGCAATATCGTGATCTGACAGGATTTGAATATATTTGCTGTATGTTTTGTTTAACAGTACACTGTATGTATCATCCATAAATTGATGAATGAATGGTCTGTTGATATCACTCTGGTCTTTGAATATGTCATCGTGGGAAATTAAAATATTGTCTGCAATCTTGGACCCAAATATAGATGGAAAAAACACCCCCTACCCCTAAAATGAAGGATGGGAAAATGGCGCGTTTGGCTCTGCTTGATTTCGGATGGATGGGGGTTTGCCGTTCCATTTTATTCTGTCCAAGATTATACACTTACAAGTAGCATATAGCCCTTCTGCCATGTCCGACTATGAAGAATGAGATGTTTTCACTTAAATAAATTAGTAAACTGACCACGGGTAAAGGCTTGTGACTACCACGTGTTTTAAATCGAATACACAAATTTAATACCTTAGCCTCGTCGAAATATATATATGGTTCAGGATTCCACTCGGCGAAATTTATGTCAGTATCAAAACATCGCTGCTCATGTTCACGAGTCAACAGGAATAATTACAAAACATTCCTTCACGTTCACATGAAAATTACGATATTATATTAGAAACCATTTTGAATTGAAGCGTCAATCATGGCTCGCGGATAAAGTATACGGCCAGTATCATACGGGTGAATGATAGTGTTTGTAAACAAAAACCTAGACAAATCCAATGAAATAATATCTTAGGGTCAATACTTCGAATATTTCCTGGTCCGGTCAGTAAACTACCCATGAATGAAATGAAAGACTTCCAGACCTCTGGTGGGTCCGATATTTACTTTTGAATCCTAAAGTCAGTGAACCACAGGGCAACCACTCACAACACTGAAACCTGTTTACGTAATAACTTCTCCAACATGTTGAGGCATGGCCTGAGGCTAATTTGCATAAAATCTTGTACTGATCATAAAAGTCATCAGAACCTTCCAAAATCTGGCAACCTCGGAAAAATCAGAAACCTTAATTTTCCTGTAAGGTAATAAATCAGATATCTGTGTCACGTGTCCACTTATGATCGAGTCCAGGAAACAAAAGAAAACTAAAAATGGGGTGGCGAGATGCCACACAGTATATAGTCCATATATTAAATACTGCATTTTTGTCATTGTATCATTGTTTCTCGCTTGAATCTGCCCGGAATGGTTGACTCACGCTTTTATTTAATTAGTAATTAAGCAAAATAGGTTACGTGTCACTTTTCACCTGTTAATATCTTTTTAAGAAATTAAAAATTCTCACCGTTCCGGCCACGGAAAAAACTCGTACGGTAAAACAAACATTTACACATGGTTCAAACTGAGTTGCAATCAACCATTCCTACCCCATTTTGAATTTCTTTTTGAATATCATTATGGCGTCACGTTTCACGCGACTACATCACTTCAACGCCTCGAAAGAAAGTTTATCGAAAGATAAATGCATGGTCGTAGAAGAAAAACAGCTTTATCTTCGCGTGGGGGTAGAGACCAAAAAACATGCTTGAGTTTTCAATGACTATCCATCGGATGGGACCGGTCCCGTCCTTGGTATACTCTCGTATACACTCCGGCAGCATTATGCTAACCTAGAGAGCTTTTTAAGTGTACGCTTTAACTGATTTAGCGCTTGGACTACCAGCTTTAAATGCTATACCAACGCAGTTGACATGAACTATATCATTCCTGTTTCTTTTCTTTAACTCTCTCTATCGACACAGCACCACAGCAGTGTATTCAGGAAGTTCTGAATAAAACTCACCTTTTCCTTCACTGAAATATCTCGTTTGTTCTCCTGTGCAGCCTTCACTAAACTTTTTCTGGCGCTTCGTTCAACTGAGAACTTGCTTGCTTATCTATATGCAGGAAGCACAATGGTAATCATACGTTATGAACTCTTACATTATAATAAAAACAAACGCATTGTAAATTCTAAGAGCCAACTGAACTTTGGAACCGGATTAAAATACGCTGAAGTTCACCTTCGCCGGTCCATATTCTTACCATGTGCAACAGAAGAGAGTCTAAAGTGGTTGGTAAGCGACTTTTAATCATTTAGAAGTATAAATAGGTTCAACGTCATATTCGGTTATTCTACTTGATTGTTTTCGGGTCACCCCTCGCGAGGAATAAAAAAGAACATTTACTTTTTACAGAAAGGAGTTTTTTAAAAAAAACTTGAATGCAAGATATTTTGTCAGATTTTGCAAGGTGTGTCCAAAGTGCGCCTTTCCGCCAATTTCGAATTTCTGGCCAAAGGTCACTAAGGCATGACGTGTACTGTGTGGAAAATATGGAAAACTTTCATTCATTTGCCATTTCGCGAATTCAGGAAAAATTATTTTGTAAAATTTAGATTCAGTCGGCCATTGAGGAAGTCGCGATGCCCCAAAATAAAAAAGGCCTTTCACATTTCCCGAAATAATAATAGAATACCCTTCCCCGCTATCGTATGCGTGACCTATGAAAATGTAAGTGTTGTGGTGGATTTCTACAAATAAAAGTTAAATTGTAGTCAACTTAGGGTTCAGCTTTTAAACTACTGCTGTTAGAATGGTTTTTTTTTTGGTTAGTCTGCTCTTCTGTCCGAAATGTCTTTTTGGCGAAACTAAGCGAAACGCTTTTGGGCCGCAAAATGTCACAAAATGACAACACCGAAAATCAGGTTAAGTTTGCGTGATAAAGAAATCATCCCCGAGTCAGTGCTTGTCACAGAACTGTCAACACCCCCCAGCATATACTGAAAGATATAGAAAGGCGGCAGTCAAGAATTTTAACGCCATTAAACAATAAAATAAAAATCACGGAAAATCAAGAAGATGTTTGATAAGTTTTCTTTTTCTCTCGGAAGAAGTAAGTGTGTGATACGATCATTGCTGACCCATCAAGTATTCGGCCACAAGGTCCAAACTCCAATGCTACATTCGCGTGCCACAATGATGTAATTTCAATTGGTTTTCTCTTTTTACCTTGTTTCGGTTTCCTCGTGACAACAAGTTATGAATCGTGTTTTATCTAAATTCAAAGAAATGGAAAATTTCTACTCGTTTTGCGAGCCTTAAATATAATGATTCAGTGTTATGGAGTGAAGAACAACGTAGAATTGACGTATTGCTGGTAAAACGAATTTTTCTTTACACAGCAATTTTCCATGGGAGTGTTTTTGTTACATGTTTAGGTCAAATATTGGAGATACAAGATACATCCAAAAACTGCGACCGTTGCCCAACTTTTACATTACATTAGCAGCCTGAGAAACAATATTAATCCGTCAATTTCGCAGGCCCAGCTGTCATACATCGAATTATACTCTATTTAAAATGCAAAAGCGCTTGATCTTGTTTTTTATCAATAAAAAGAAAAGAACTGAGAGAAATTTCCGTTTAAATTATAGCACTATATAGAAAAAACAAAAAAAAAACATGATAAGTTAAAAAGGTTCACTCGCAAGAGGTTTCTACGACGAATCGCGAGTTCCAAGTGCTCAAAGTTTGAATTAAATGTCAAAATATTAACGAAGACTCTAATCATGCGGGTGAAATCATGCGCGCTGCGTGGCTGAACTCCTGCAGACAGTACATTGAATAACACTCTTTACATGTACAACATGAAATTTATGATTATTTGAATTTTTATCTCGGCATTTTTGTAAGAATACAATAAAGTCACACTCACCTTGTTTGTCACCTTTCTCAGTACTAAGTCCGTAAATGTTAATGTCAGTCTTTTGAAAGCGACACTTCAGACAGTTACGATAGCGGCTAAAGTAATCGTAGGTCGATTGGTCATGTTACAAATCACGTATTTACGTGAACTGTCAAAATAGTACAAAGGTCTTTGAAGCAGTAAATAAAAGGCTAGTGACTATTGTTTGAGCGTTAGAAATTGAATTTAACTTCTTCCTCATGTTTCTTTGTAATAAATCTCAAGATTAATCGATTCCATAAACCCTGAAAACGAAAAACAAACTAACAACAAACACGCAATAAATAAATAAATAAATAAGCCTGATTAAACAGAATCATAGTTATCCGTATTTTCTAAATTATTCATCGCTACAACCTGATAATCCTAAAAGACGAGGGGGTTTTTCTCTATCATCAAATTGCACAAAACTGATCCAAACTTTTTTTTTTTTCAGCGCTGAAAACAATTCAAAAGTTCGAAAAGTACCTCTGAAGAAGTAACATTTGAATGGTCGGACACCATACTGAGACAGGGGAACCCGAAGACATACTGTTTTCTGTAAAATATCTGTTCGGAGAAGCAAATATTGCCTACGAATTTTCTTTTGCTTACGGACGGCTAAGAATTCTTTGAGTAGATGAACGTTCCATTCATGTACAATTTTTGAAGCTATGTCTAATAATTAATAAATTCCCTTCGATTTTCTGAAGTTAAATTTTTCATACTTTACTAGAAGATCTTATTACCCAGGTTACACTATTTTTCTTAGAAAAAGGAAACCTTACATCTTCGTATTCTAAAATCTGATTGAGAGAGGAATCAGAAAAGTTCTCAATTTCGTAAAACGTTAAACTGCACCTAAAATTTTCAGAAACATAATACTGAAGCCCTTGTAATTTCGAAAAGACTTATCTGATAAGTTCCCCTCGGATGACCGAACAGATAAATATTTTGTAGCGCCGCTTAGAATGCATTTCTAGAGATCTAAAAATACTTTGGATAGCCTAAAAAGTGTTTTCAAGTGAACGTTTTTTGGAGGAAACCGTCGTTGGGTGCGCCTGATAAGATTTTGCCGTCCACAGACTCGAATTTAGAACTAAGTTCCTGACCCCATAATATTACCTCTTAGGGGAAAAGATAGCAATTATGATATTATTTATGAGTGTTATAATCAAAGAATTGACTTAACACAATCGTTTCACTCAGATTGCGTAGAGTTCCTCGTCAGTCCGGCCTTGTACGACTGAAAAGCCGAGAGAACAGCTGCTCCCTCGTTTCACCCGTTCGGTCGCTAGTGACATTTGACTGGGGCATTAATTATAAAATTCAAGGGACTTCCAGCAGTGTACGGCGTTTTTCTGTTAATTCACCATTTTCAGTTTTCACATAGGCCATAATGCACCTAGTTTACCCCCCGCCGGTCCCAAAAAGTTTAACCGCATTGTCTTCGATACCCAGGAGAAATTAAGAAATTTTGAAGGTAAACAACGTGCCTTATTGTCTATGTGAAAGTGGTGAAGGCATTTTCCCTTAGCTTTGTTTACTTTTAAGCGGACTAATTGAGCTGTAGTAAACTTTACCCTCCAAATTTAGGAGTATCCTTTCGTGCCGGGGCAAAACAAATAAAACAAGGTGAACTTTATACTCGGCATTCGCCCATTGGTGGTCGTTTACTAGAAGTACTTCAACTAATCCTAACAGCTTGGGCAGTTTCCTGGTCTTTTATCCTGTGAGGAAATGTCAACGGCCAAGTTATTTTTAGGGCAACTTGCTTTGTTAGGATGACTCAAACTTGTTTCAGTAACAATGATGGTATTGTTATTTGGTGGGGTTTTTACTGCAAGAAACAAGAACTTGGGAGGGGAAATCGTAACTGCAGTTGTGACTAAAGAAGTACAGTTGACTCCCGATAACTCGAACCTTGAAGGGCCAATCGAAAAAAGCTCGAGTTATCGGGAGCTCGAAGAAAGTAGCCGGGAGTAAGGAAAAAAAAGCAGTTTTTACTGCACAGTGAACATTTTAATCACATTTAATTAATTGTAGAAATGTTAAGTGAAAATTGAAAGATCCTTCTAGATTATAAATCAGAACGTATGTAAGTGACAAAACATTGCCTAAACGTAACAAAACTTTGCCTAGTAAATAGAGCATGCGTTTTACTGTTTTGAGAAGTAAAGCTTTTTCACTTTAGATTTGTGACAAACTGAACATCACCCTCCACTGGTAAACTATATACCTACAACACGTCAATGGGAAATTCACATTCAATTTTTCAAACGCCGGTAGACAGTTTTTTCCCGAATTTTGAAGGGCTTAAAACATGGTTCGAGTTATCGAGGGCAAAATTATTGCGTTCCAGGTACGAGAACGCAACCCCTAATTTGTGTTGGGTGTTCTGTGCATTATTGGGTGACCTGTGCAATTAATGAGGAAGGGTTTTTCGTTCCTCGTCGTCGTCGACACACATTTGCCTCGCTTTGAGGCGCTTGCTTAAGTGTTTCCTCACTTTGACGCGCTAACCCATGTGGTGATTCTTGTGTCCTCGGCGATCATCTTTCAAAGGTTTGCTTAGGTCTGATATTCTGTCTTCGTAAAGCGTTCATCTTTTAAAAAGTTTGCTGAATCTTCGTAAAGCGTACATCGATCTGTGATTGCTGAATCGCCCAAAGCGTTCATCTTTCAGGAGTTTGCTGTTAAATTTTACTTTGGATTAAGCCTTCATATTTTTCAGCATGGTTCGTCATTGTCTTTGGAAAATGTCTGCGACTACTGGTGCATGCATCAAACCGGGTTTAGTTCGGCGGCCGTTATGCCACAAAGTAAATTTACCGAGCTGTGTAGCTCGGCGGCCGTTTTGTCACAAAGTAAATCTACCGAGATGTGGAGCTCGGCGGCGCTATTTGACCATGACTTGTGATATTTTCGGCACCGGACAAACGAACACTTTAACTCTATGTTATTTATTAGGAAAAACGTATAAATCAGCCCACGGTAGCGCCACTCTCGAGTCACTGAAATCAACACGCTCGACCAAATTACTGGGAAAAAATTCAGTGTAATTCATTTTGTCAACAAGTTAATGATTGGATGCTGTTAAAAATAACAGATAAAATTATCCGAAGA